ATCAAGTTTTGTTCGAGTATTCAAATAGGACACACGTGTCGCACTGGTCATAAAAGGGTTAATCTTAATATAAGAAAATTCACGTATCATGATCCAAACTTCATTTTCATCTCAACCACTCCACTAGCACAACTCCATACCAATAAATCTACCGCCTCGACTATTTTCCTAAAAATCTCTCCCATTTATACATCTCGCAACGAATCGAACAATCCCAATAATCCTTTAAGATCTCGCGTATTTACAATCTACACTCGGCTCGGATCGCCTCGATTTCCACTGTTGACATACGAGCGGCAAAGAGGGGCTAACGGTTAGGGAATGATTAATAAAGATGCGCGGCCACGCGTTCCACCGGATATAAGGCCCACACAGGCCCACTTCGCACACGTGTATACATTTACACACGAATCCATACGAACACGTTCCTACATCGACTCCTTCTCGCCAAGTACAGAAGAAAACACAACGTAGGGCCGCGGTAGATGAACCAGTGTGCACCGTCGGGACGCGTGCGCTCATGTATCCTCGAGGAATACGCACACACAGCCCTGATCGAAAGAGGAGAGGCAACGACAACCTGGTAAGAGGTGGAGGAGGACGCGAGTCGTCCACGTGCATAACTCGGACATAAAACAGGCTCGCTCGCGCAAACCACGGCTCCGCGCTGGGGTACGGATGGGCTAACGGATGGATGGACAGACGGACGGATCGACACACAGCACGCGCGCATGAATATGTAGGATGTCTGGAAAAAAAGACGAGAAAAAGTGGGGGCGGCAAACACTCGACGCGCATAGTAATCGAAGCCGCGTCATGCCAATAACATCGCGCGCCTAATGTCCCGATCGATCGACTCGTTCCACGGAGTTTTCCTTGGCTGGATCACGGTTGGCGCGCGCCACGGCACCTCGAGAGCTGATTTACAGGAATCCCCGTCGATCAGCGTGAAATATTCCTAACGAAATTCGTCTGTTTACCTTCACAACAAAGTGTGAAATTTTAGTAACCACCAGCGAATATTTCTCACATCGATCTATGGAATTTCATATCTTTCTTTTCTACGTTTGTTTTTACAGAGCGAATTTAGGGCGACAGGGAAGAAAAGTCTTGAAGAGCGAAATAAGTCGTTTAAATTTCGCGCCAAATAACCGTAATACACACTCTTTTAATGTGGTTTAAGTATACGGAGATCTGTTCCAAGATCGAAATTAAAGAAACTTTGAATGAAAATCTCAGTGATCGTCAGCAAATGCTGAAAGTATTCTCCTTTCTAAGGGACTTAATGTTCTATGATAAAATCGTATTTCTCGTAATATATTTACTCCGCATCATCGTCGTTAATAGCTATGTATGAGCAGTTGACGCAACGTTAAAACTGAATTAAAAAAAAAAATATAGCGAGGTCAGATTGGTCAGGCGTCAAAGATTACACGTTCAAGCATATCGACGAGCGAATCGACGGTAAATTGAAAAGATAAACACCCGAAACCTCAGTCAGGGCAAATTGAAGTATGTTTTAGTTTGATTCAGTCGTAATCGAACAACAAACAGTGTCACATCGACTCTAGTTGTAACTGCATCAATCGGTGTCGCTACTTAATGCTTTAATTTACGATCTTGCTATATTTCTTTTGTCGACTTTACCAGTGATTGTGTCTGTTACCTGAAATGTCTCCGCTATTTGTTGGTGACAATTGTATTGCTTGAAAAAGACGACAGAAATTTTCTGTCCCGTCACGTTTCCACATTTTGAACTTTACAATATACATATAACCTCAAAAGTGCACTTCATCACATAACCCGTTCATCAACTGAATCACTAAACACAAGTAACTTCTTTGACAATACCTCATCACCTTATTGTCATCCATATTTCAACGATTAAAACGAGTCTACACTTGCACTACACTTATGACTTATTGATACGTGTATATACGATCGCAGAATCGAACCACGGAAATGCGTGATCACGTTAAATTCGTTCGATTTCTCGTCTTCCTTTGGCAGAAAATAATTACGACAGAATTTTTCCGATCGGTTTAATGTTATGATAAGCGGGTGAAAAGAAAGTGATAAGGAGAAGAGATATGCTTAGAAAGATGAAAAAAGAAGGGATAGAGGGTGGGGAGGTGAAACGAAGAGGGACGCGTGTGCCGCGTACGAAGACACGCGCGAATGGCCGTGCTAAAACGGGCGCGGGTAGGTGGCGCACACGCGAGAGGAGTTTACAATGTTGCGGATGCCAATTGCCGATAATTCAAGGTGTACCTACCCACGATATAACACACGGCCGCAGACGCTGACAGATTGCTGGGTATCGGTACGAGCTCGCAATCTTTCTAAGGGGCGAGGGGGGCGCTTTTAGGCGCGCCATGTTTTTGGTGCGTTCTGAATATTGGGCGAACTTCACGCCGTTGCCAGTGTGACTGAGGTCTGATTGATACGTGTGGTTGAAATGGAAGGAGAAAGTTGTGTTTGTGTGGCAGATTGCAATTTTAACGTAATTAGTGATATGTAAAAATCGTGAGTTAAGTGGCTATTTGTGTTCCTGTTTGCTGTGAATGAGGTGAGAATTGCGATGGTATGGACTACGTTGTCGTTCAAAAGAGGTTAGTTTTAAGTGAATTTTCATATTTCTGCTTTCACTGAGAAAATCTTCGAATATTGTGAATATGAGTGAGTTCTGATTAGAATTTAGTACAAATATGTAATTAGTAATTACGTTATTTAGTAATATTGTTAGTTTGAGTAGATTAGTTAATCAGATGTATGATTGGTACGTGGCAAACGAACATACAACAACGTAAATTATTCTAGGGAAGAGTAAGGTTAGGTGTTTACAGTGTATGTACTATTGAAAGTCACACTTGATGTTTAGAATAAGGCGTAGTTACTTCGAAAGTGTTTATACAAATGTACAACATAAATGAATCGAAAGTAAACAATTTGTTTATGAAAACTATGAAAACAGTTACAACACAAACTCCATAAATTCTCGAATAATAAAACAAAATTATTCATTCTCACTTTACGACCGTAAGCTTTAAA